TGTGAAATGAAAAAATTATAATAATTCAAATCTTCGTTTCTTATCGGGGAGAAAATAATGGAGGAGCAAGTATTATTGAGTTGGGTTGAACAATTTTTACTCGTATAGTATTATGTAATTGTAAATGGAATTTTTGGATCGGTTAATTAAATATCCACTTTTTGTGAGGAATAATGAAAATTACGAGATATAAATATATTCCTTCCTGTGAAACAGAGTTCAATCTTCCATCAAAGTACATCATATAGATTAACTTGTTAATTAAATTAAAATTTAATTATAATTGAAATAATTGAAATTCTACTGAGGGAAAATTACAAGATATATTGGACTAGATTCTTCTGGATATTATGAAACATTATTGAAACGTTACTAAATAATTTTTTAACTTTAATTCTTTCTGTCTTTCAGTGGACATGTCTAGGCCTTATAATCCTCTCTTATAACGTAACCATAGTTGGCATGCAATGTAACATCCAATACTACTGACTTGTTATATAATACGTAATTTAACAAAATATATAACGATTATATTGTGGCGACCAACTTTCACGCACTCACTGCTAGATGGAAAGCGGAGGTTCCAGGTTTCTCGCAAATCCTCGGCGAATCTTCGATTACCCATAAATACAAGCATCTATGCTACCTAACTGTCCCTCATTTTGCAGGGCCTGCTAGAAAGCCTTACTAGGTAAGGAGTCCACTAGCAGGCCCAGGACGAAACGCATACTTTCCTTGCGTCCTTTCTACCTGCTACATATCATAGCACGATGGCCATCAGGATACCACCAAGACTTCAAAGCAACTCCTTGGGGAGCGGGGACTCCCACAGTAATTAATGTATTACGATGGAAATAACTAGATAATTACCTATCGTAATGAGATCAACATTTTGGGTGTAACTAGAAAAGCAAAAATCTAAAATTAATATTTACATTAATATTAATACGACTATTAAGTTACCTATGTATAAAATAAGAACACAGAAAACCCTCAGCATACCTTTGAAAATTTAACAAAATTCAAGAAAATTGTAGTAAATAGAAAACCAAATATCTCATCCAAGGAAAGTAGGCACATCTATAACACGATTATGCTAAGTCGACCACCTTTGTCGTCCAGTACCGAGTAAAAATGACCACAATTTAACCACAATTCGAGCATCTCGTCGTTGAAACGATAGTCGTCGAAAGCCCGAAGCAGAATCGTCGAATTCGCGCGAGGTGGATTGGGGAGAGGGTGCAATCGAAGCATTAGAAGCGAGACAAGAGGGATGAGCTCGTACACGTGTTCGAAAGATCGCCAAGCACACTGGTGTGTTCGTTAACCACGGAGATAAGGTGCCTATACGTAGGTGACACGTGTTACGAAAATACACGGCCAAGGAGCACGGAGGGAAGCGGCGAGATAAAATTAGAAGGAGAAAAGCATGTCGTCGAAACGTTTGTTTTACGGTCCCGCCCGGTTCCACGACATTCGCCGCAATTTTTCTTTTCACGTCCGCTTGCGGCGCGGAGGAACGCTTGAATTCGGTGAACAGAGGGCTCCACCCGGTTCCGGGGAACGCAAATTAATAATAACGCTTGAACAAAGCGCAGGATAATAACGGGGACCGGGAACGAGCAGGAGGAACGATTAAGTTTGAGCGATCGGTTTTTGTAATTACAAGTGTCATGCTCGAAGAATACTCGCTGGTGTTCATCTATTCGTCTTTTCCGAGATTAATGGCTTCCACGTTTAATTTAAGGTTAAATGAAAAGTCAGTCGCGTTTGAAATGACATTTGTTACTGGGGAGTGATGTAACATATGATGGGAAGTGTTCTACAAGAGGTTAGGTGCGTGTACGGAATGTTTACGATCGCGCTACTGTGGCGCCACCGTCGCATATGGCGGACAATTTTGTTTGGTCTCGTTCTCGTACATGAGAAAGTTACTTTTAGTTTTCGTAATGGAGGTTAGTATATTGTTAAATTTGAGATTTTGGAACAGGGGATTATTAACAGTAATATCAATATCTATTCAATATCTCAATAAAAGCAAAATGGACTCCTTGGATAGTTGTAGTAATCTACTCTTTGAGTATTAAGGGTTGACAGAATTTTGAAATAGATGTATACTGTTGAATATAATCAAAATTAGGGCTACCTATTTCTTTATTCATTTTTTAACACTAGGCTATCCGAATGTAATAAAAATAGGTAGTAGAAAATTGTATAATGAAGATATTTTGAGCAAGTTCACGTGACAACTTACATTCCTATCTTAATGGAAGTCTATCTAAATGAAATTTAACCAAAGAGGTTGAACGTTTTTAGTTATTCTAGGGATAAAATATTTTAAACTAGTCAATTTAATTAGTCCGGTACGCCTAGTGATAATGATAACCGAATATATATATATATATATATATTGCGAAATAGTTTTATGTACAGTTGCATAAAAATTAATCTTCATGTAATTCATTTATTTATAATTCACTTCTGATTCACGAATTTTTTAAAATACTATAGCAAATATAGGTCTACCTATATCTAAAAAATATCTATTCGTCAACTTAAGAGAAAATATTAGGCAAACTTCTTTCTAATCTTACCTAGCTTCCGATATCAATTGACGAAAATGTTTAACAGGATTCAAAGAACGGTCAGGTGGTTAAATGTACGTTTTTGATGCAATCACGTATGTAAACACGTAACAAGGACGGGATGGAATACCCAGCGCGAACGCCATGAATTATCCGATAGTTTTGTTGCTCCAGGAACTCATTTAGCGAACACGTAGCCTCTTGTACAGTTCGTTCTCTTTGTATTTACTTTTTCCAGGGGAACGACGCCTCTGAATGAGTTATCGCGGCGAAGCCTTGAGCCCACTCAATTATCTTAATGAGCAGAAACGCCAATAGCCCGCCACGTTTTCGGGGCTACGTCTTTATTTTTAAACCTGTTCCCGCGTTGACGAATTTGCGGACGCTAGTCATCCCTAAATGATACACCCCTTCGAACGAACTGTCAATGAGAAGAGTTCTTCGCCAAGATTTTTCGAACACCGGGTATTTATTTCGTTCGTCGTTAACCCAATATTTCCAGTATTAATGAGTCGTATTAAGGAATTTCTTTAACTATGGATAACGACACATTGGATATTCGAGAAATTGGATTATTATCTTTCAAATGTTTCCAAATTTTGAGTATTTAAATATTGCAAAAATTGGATTATTATCTTTCGAATGTTTCCAAATTTTGAGTATTAGAATATTTCAAAAATTGGAATATTATCTCTAGCATGTTTTCAAATTTTGAGTATTAAAATATTTCAAAAATGGGATTATTATCTTTCGTATATTTCCAAATTTTGAGTATCGGAATATTTCAAAAATTGGAATATTTTATTCTTCTACTCTTGGAATTTTTAATATTAAAATATTTTAAAGACAAAATATGGAATATTAAACCCACGCATTTTCTATCGATGTCAAATTAACCTAGAAAACGCTATCTATCCTCTGCCATTAACTGCCACTAACTAAAATCGATGGTACGAAATAAAGTATAAGGCACATTAAATACCAATACAGCGCGCGGAATTATTCCAGAAAATTTAAGCGGTCGAAGTATAAGATAAATAATTTTAAACGATAGATATTTTGCAATGAGAATTAATGTAACACTCTACTACCGTCTGCATCAACTATTAGTGATACGGAACAAGGTATAGCGGACCACAATGTAGTATATTAAGGGATAAAGCGAGGAATTTGAATTCTTCCTGAGAAATGGATAAGTAAAAAGTGAAATAAAAATACAGTCACAGTGTACCTGGAAGAATGCATAGTTTCTTTATGACAGACGCAGGGGCAAATATTCCATTAAACCGACGTTTATCTTTGTAACGGTATCCTGGTGAGCAAGAATTGCGCACACGTAATGCACCACCTATTCCGTGCATCCGTGTTTAATAGCCTCCATCGCGACTTTTTGCTTAAACTTCGCCACATATGAAATTTCCTTTCGTTATGCTTGATCTGTCTGGTATTTCGCGTACGCGGATGATCCCTGTAATATTACACATTAATCCTCCCATCCTGGTCAGACATATTTGACCCCACACGGTTGTCAGCCATTTGTAGATGCAACAATGCACGTTATAGAAAATGATTAAAATACTGAAATACCTGGAGAAGTTCCGATATGTTATTCGTATTAATTAAATCTTCCGTGAACATTTTATTATTCCAAATCTACGGGGTTCTTTCATCACCGTATAACGCTCTGGGCATTGAATCTACAAGCTCATTTCATACAGGCAAATTTCTTCGATGGTACACACGTAACGTTTCCACAAAGTCAAATCTAGAAATGCACGGCGAGATAAAGAAAATTGGAACAGTTTCGTCGCGAACGTTACACACTTAACCTCAACGCGGTTGATATAAGAAGCCACTGTTCGAACGAAGACGTACAATCGTCGGTACAGCTCAAAGGCTGTTGGTTTATGCGATACAACGAATTACACGGATCTATTTTTACAAAGAGAAAATAATGGAAGAGGGTGAAAAAGGAACACGGAAATCTGCGCGGCGTCGATCCGTTAAGATTCCAAAGGCGAAAAACTATTTCTGGTAGTCACGTGCGAACCGCAACGCCGCAAAAGTCCCCAACGTGCCGCGTTTCCCTTTCCCGCATCGGTTAACTTAGATTCCTCGACGAGCCACCCATCAAAATGATAAACTTCTCTCCTCCCATGAAAGAAAGCGGGGCGAGCGTCGGTGCATTTATTTTCGTACTCTACTTTCCCCGCGTCGAGTGGATAATAGATCGAAATTCCAGCTGGGAAATCACGGACGCGCAGATAGCGGGACAGGGTGAGCAGTAGCACCGCGGGTGGCGCCACCGACCGAGAATCGTGCGTCGGTAAGGCAGAAAAATCGACCGGCTGCGACGTTGCCGTTTCTATCGCGGGTCTTCCGTCGCGAATAGTGGGGGTTAGTTACGATGGAATCGCAAATATTCGGTAACGGTGGTGCGCGACGAGGGTGAGAAAAAAAGCAGTGTCGCGAAAACGCGAATTTGGACAGGCTTAGTGGACACGTGGGCTATGTGTCCGTCTCACGTCGCGGCTACACGCGTCGTTGCACGGTCTCGTGGCGTCGCGGTGTCGTTACTCGCGGCGTTCCTCGCAATTACGCAATGACGAGACGTCACGATGTGGGACATTGCGTGTGAGGACCTTTGTGACGTGCTTGGATCGAATGTTTTTATCTCGATGGTTGATCGTCGATGAACAACTGTACGTTCGTTTCGTTGGTTGAGATCTGCATTCACATATTTTCCTGATCAAACGCTCGATCTGACGACGCTCCTTTGTGTTCAAGGTTACCAGCATGAGTTTTTGGTCCCGCAGACGATTTCGTATCACTCCGCTACGAGCGTTGGTGGCGTTGTTTCTGATGGTCATGCTGTTCTGGTATAGCCTCAGTCGGCAAGTGACACCCAAGCAACCGTGCAGCGTACCCGAGGAGTTTACAGAGAAACTGCATGAGCTTGCCTACAGGTCTATATGGTTCTGTTCCAACTACTGGCTGTCGATAAATTCGCGTTCTACTTGATATGTTTATATCCGTTTTCTTTTTGTATGTTAACACTTCTCCGTTTTAATATGCTTATTCTCCAACGTTATGTGCACTTGCAATTTCAATAATGTACCTGAATGTCGCATGATTGTTTCCATTTTGTTTTCGTTGTAATGATTAACCCGAACAAAATATTTTTGTTTACCTGTAACTCTGTCAATATGTTGGCTGCCATGTTGGTTGTCCATGTTGGTAACTGGAACTCGTTTTCTCAGTGGATTTGTGGTAATCATCAGTGACTGGAGTGCGTTTTGAAAATACCCAGCTGATGTAAATTGAATCTGAAACAAAATTATGACTTTGTTAGCTTTACCTTTATATTGATTTTATATTGATATTGAGGGATAGAACAGCATGTTTTATTGTATTAAAGTTATATCGATGATTTATTATTTTTAGTAAGTACCTGATTTATTTCCCTTTTGTAAATCAATGAAATATATGTATGCTTGCACAATATGTTGAAAAACAGCTATTTTAGTACATAGTGAGAATTGTAGAATACAATTTAATATATCTAGTTTCTTTTAGTGTATCAAGTATACGATACTGTGCAACTATAAACAAACCCTAGAAAACCCCATTTTTATTTCAAACTAACGTACACTTTGTCTGCTTTTCTCCTTCACAATTCCATTACTACGACGTTATACCTACATCTCGTGACATTGCTTTATTACAAATGAAATTTAATGCAACTATAAAAAGTCACTAGATAGTAGTCCAGTATCCCTAGTATTAGCATTCCTAAAGTACTCCTATAGTATTCCTAAAGAAAAGTTTTACTAAGAATTTTGAGTCTTTTCTCAAAACATATTTTTCGGTTTCTTTTCTATTTATTTGCATCTTCGCCAAATTTCATAATACAAGAACGAAACCTATCGAGCCATAATCGAACCATAATCGTGGGGATTTTCCTTAAACATTAAATAATGAATCAGTAAACTCTGTTTTTGACTATATCGGAACTTTCACTGGGCGGAATTTCTCTTCTCTCGTGACGAGTTTCACTGAACTATCGTACGTTCAACTTTTGTCTCGCATCTGACTTCATTAGGGTTCACTTGGTGCTAGCGAAACTGGGTATCGTGCACTTTTTGTGCCTCGGAGGATTGTGGGGTCAAGTTCGGATCGGTCGTGCCTTACCATGGGCACGTAAGGTTGAACTTTGCCTGGTTGATACGCTTAGAGACGACGTTCTTATCACGAAAGCATTCCGTGAAGTTGGTTTGAGCGCTACATACCTGCACGCGGCCGGCGTGTATCGTATCCAGGAGCACGAGGTCGGCGAAGATGCACCCAAGGTAGAGGTCGTGGTCTTCGAGGAGGATGCTGTGGTAAGTTAGATTCCTGTACTCCCACTGTATATTCGGTTATAAATTTTTATCCTTAAACTTTTTTTTATTAAAATTAACATTGGTTAATTTTATATATTAATATTTTATCGGAATAATATTATTTTTATTATTGGAAGATTCTGTCTTTGTTTCTATTTAGTGCAAATTATATACTAGTGATGAATCCAGTTCCCTAATCTTTTTACAAAATAGACTATTTGTAAGAAATTGAACTTTTAAGAAGAAAAAGGAATTGTCTAACCTTCTTTACTACTAGTTTTATTATTTGTAATGGTTCTTATTTATTATAAAATTCGAGGTAAGAATAATTCGTGTACCTATTACATATGCAAATGTGTGTTACGATGTCTTTTGTTATGAGTTGTAAATTCGGCGGAGCGTAAAAATCCCCTACAGTGTTTACGATATGTTTTACATATCGTGTAACTAGGACAACAGAAAGTCATTGCTTGGCATCGTTTTTGGCAGTAAAGCGTTGAACTTTCTTTTATTAACATTACGGGACTTTAGTACGATATAACTTTTTAAAGATCGTTCTATAAAGGACAAGAATCTAGAATCTGGAACATCAAGACACTAAAATTATTTAACTGTTTGGCATTTTAACATTGCACATCAAGCAGCCGTACTTGAACTTTTATTATTCGTGCCACGAATGTTTCAAAGATAACGTTTCTAGCGATAAAATCAAATCTCCAAATCCTATAACTTACTTAAAATTCAGTCAGGAGCACGATTCGTCGAATTTACTCAATGAAATTACATAATTCTGTCAAAGAAAATTATATCGATATAAAACAGAATTAAGAAAATTAAAAAACTTCTTAAAATAGTGTGAAATGACATTCAGCTGGGATAATGAATTATTTAAAATAATTAATTCCATTAAAAAAATTGTACGAATATAAAACAAGAAATTTTCAAAAAATTAAAGAAACTTTTTTAAATAATCTCATCTACTATTCAATACTCGAAATAAGTATTTTTTCTTTCTACAGACACAAATGGTAAGAAGAGTCGGTTGGTCAAGAAGAGTGCTGCCCCCAGACTGCGAGTTTTCCCCTAGCCTGCAATGCTTTCCGCCTCAGCTCGTAATTCCTCCTTTACCGGCCAAGCAGTTCGGTGGTCGATTAATCCCTGTCCCTAGAGAAGGCATCGAGTTGCAGAAATATCACTATCCCAACGACTGGTGGCTCGAGGTGAAACCCACTGACTGCACGGAGCCTCAAGAAACGAACGCGTAATACTAGATTTCGTATTAGACACGATATATACGACCGAACAGACGGAACGAGTCCTCTAGGACTGCTAAACAAAGGACAAAATGGAGCAGCTGTTACCACTGTTCGATCCTATTTCAAAGCGTTTTTATTTTTCATAGGGATAAATTGGTTTCGCAAAGTTACTAGGAATAGACACGTTCCTGGACATAAATAGACAATTCGAGTTTTCGGATCGAGATGTAAATTCGAGAACTCGATTTCGTTGCTTGTTCGAAATGGAAAGTATCACGTGTGTGCGTAGTTTCGTGAATATTTAAGAAGCAGAGAGATTTTAAGGTTGATTTAAGAATCACAAATGAGACGTGGTGGATGATTAATCACCAGTGAAAGTTCGTGTTTCCATTTTTAAAGGCTTTGCGACGATTTTGTTCCTTCGGCTATTAATAAACGGTTGATGAATGTGATTATGCCTGGGTAACAGGTTTCGGTAATGACGTAGATGATCTAGACGAGTAAAAGTCGCTTCTAAGAAAGTATCATGAATTATGGCTGAACTGGGCAAGAAGTTTCGACGTTCGATCGTCCAACTGGAAAATTTTTGATCTTTTACCACAGCTGGCATTATATATATTGTAGTAGAAGGAAGAAAGGAAATTTTAAATTGTACCAACAGGATTTTACATTCCAAGCTTTTCTTTCTCTCGTGACTTTATTGTCGATTAGACAAGTCGAAAGTAAATATATATAACAAGTGAAAGAGATGATTCTCGAGTGACACAGGAATTGGGAAACTGAAATTTTCCAGCGAAAAATTTGGAAACGATGAAAGTCAGATAACTGTGAATTAGAAAATTCGTTCCTTTCAAAGCGTTGAATATTTGGAATCTTTGGAATCTCAGTATTTCATTCAGCGAGTAGAGAATTTTAGAGACAAGTCTGATGAAAGTGAACCCTTTGCGCTTCGTGGATAACTTATGAGTTTCTACTTATTATCGAATTATCGCTAGAGAATATTTTAACGACGTTTGTACGAGACATAGAAACGTGTTTAGCCTATAGAAATTATTTTACCTTCGTATTCGATGTTTTTAATTATTCTAGTAGACTTAGGAATCCATGATACGTTCTTTGGGGTATTTCAAATATTGATATTTGCGTCTACGTGACACAGATGTATGAGAATATGGTACATCACGTGTGTGATTTATTGTCCCTATATTACACTCGCTGTACGTCACGTATGCGACACGTTGTCGCATTTGTTTCGCTGTAGGACAAGAAGTTACGTCGTCGACACATCTCAAGTGCAAAGGGTTGAATTTAACATTCAAGAGAACCTGGTTTTTGAACAATTTTGATTAACACATTTTCCGTAATATTTCCTGATAAATTAGTCACGTAGATATATATGTACATCATATTTACATTACAAATTAATTTAAACGAAAATTACATCATTTCAATATTTCTATGATTTAAAGAAAATTTGTTATTTCATTTTTATTTTCTTCTTTTTACGTAATTTATTGTATTTTTTTTTAATTTTCTAATTTTCGTTGTCAAAGTCAAGTCTTATTGCAACTCTGTGCACAGTCAGTGTATGTGGTGTTTATATAAGTCCCTGATAAGTACTTTGATTCGAAGCGTTAGGAAACAGACAAACCATTGACATGCTTCCTTCGAAGCTTTTATAGTACAATTGCTTACACGAGCTTTTTATACACGATATCAACGAGAACAAGGATTTTCTAATTTTTCTACGTTTCTACCGGTGATTCGTGATATTTTCCTCGAATCAGTGTTCAATCGATCAATGATCTTTCATCGAATCAATGTGCTTTAATTCGCGGGATTACGAATCTTAGGATATTTTCGACAATAAGTCTCATTGATTTATTTGTGGACGACGAACTGCGTTTGCGACGACTTCATTCTCATCGCATTTTAATATCATGCAATCGGAAATATAAGAGAGTTTGTCTAGAAAAATGGAAATCAGCTGACATCGATGAATTTTGTATGTTCGTTGCTCTTTTCGATCGATAATTTTCATCGTGTGATTGATCTCTACTTCGTTCATCAATTCGAGTATTACATTTGAGTATTACAAAGGAAATTCGAATTTTATATATATATTTTTTCCAATCGTGTATCTGCATATTTCTTTTTTTTTTTTTTTTTTGAATATTTAATATCAGGAAAATTGTTTGTGCAGAAAATTTGCATATTTTCTTCTACATTCTTTCGTTCGTGAGTATTGGAAAAAGATAATTTATGTCAATTATCTCGAGAAAAATTGATTTTCTGTTAAGTTATAGAATTTAATTAAGATTCTTAAGGCGTGTTCGAATATTTGAAATAAACCTCGAATTTATTTCTGCGAGTGAGAAATATATTAAATATGAATTCTTATATTTAATGGGAAATGGAAGTACTGGAAGTCACTGCAAGAATGATAGGAACGATTATACGTGAAATTTAGAGTAAAATAACGTTTGTTAACACTTCGCCTATACTATGCTTCCACGAATCGTAAACCAGCGTTACATCTTCATGCCGATTATATATTTCTTTCCAAATTAAATGCACATACCACTCCTCATATTTTATATGGATGCACATATTTGTATGTAATGTACCTTGTGAGTAACGAACGATTTGAACTATTGTAGTTGTCTCTTGAAACCTTACACGTGGTTAAATAAAACATGTAAAATGGTACGACCTAATTTTTCTGTTTACGTTCTTTTCGCTGTGACCAGAATTCGTAGAAAATTTTATATCTTTCGCAGAGAAATTTAGATGTTATTGCTTCCATGGTACGAAACACTTTACAACGATATACACACAGAGATATGGAAGCAGCCAGATTCTAATTAGCTGTTTCATTTCAAGTTCCCTGTCTTCTATTTTCTTCATTTTCAATATACTTTACAAACTGTTCTTTATTTCCCTCGGGTCACCGGACCCGATATCATACTTTAAAACATTTTTAAATTCTTGATTCTCTTAGTTTTTGATTTTTGATAAGATATTTTTTTTTTTTAAAGGGAATAAAGAAATTCATATTTAAAGAAAAACTAAAAGTTTTATTTAAAAAAAACTTAAAATTCAAAAACTACAGCTATTTTGTGTCGAAGTAATTGTGCGTACGAACTGTAGAAAATGGCCCGCTACGCGGTGAGAATTAGGCGGCAAAGCACCCACGCTAGATGTGTTAAAATGCTTTTAAGAAAAATTGCAAGTTTATACAATGGATGCTAAAAGTTCCAAACTAAGGTGTACCTTCATTTTAGTTTAGAATATACATTAGTAAAATCTTTCTCGTGAAAAATGTAATATCTCTGCGAACTACGTACTACATTATGGTCGTGCAATCAGCTTTCATCTTTGGAGGCCCGTCATCAAAAATTTAACGATACTACCCTATATTATATTATATTATACTATACTGTACTATACTGCGATCTGTGTCCCGAGATCTGAAAAGTAAGGAATATTTTTAATATTTATTTCAATCTTTCCTTTATTTGGTAAAGTATTAGGTTCACAAACATTTTCAACGTATCAATTGTAATTTTAGTCACTATTACTGTCTTGTTAGAAGACCACTGGCATCTGTGTTGCCTAGGGAATTATATCACTCGATACTCTGCCAGAAAATTTTTAATTAAAAAAGAATTTTTATTTATTTTAAATTCTTTTTCTTACTTGAACTACTGAATTTATACTAGCTAAACTAGTGAACTGTACCAAACAAGACATAGAAACTTCCTCTACATATAACAAATTAATTGTTAATCAAGTACAGGTAACCCTCATATAACACGATAGATAGGTTCCTAGAAACGTGTTATGTGAAACCGTGTTATATGAGATCTAGAGCCAGTACAAAAAGAGAGGTTATGTTTCGAAAACTTACTAGAAACAAATTCTTTTCCTAACCCTTTGCACTCGGCGATTTTTTCTTCACAGAAAAATAGTAATTCGAAGACTTTCTGCCATAAAGTCGACGATATTTTTAAAACGACAAATCAGAAGTCGTGTGCAAATCAAAACTAATTAAAATTATTTAAATTAAAATTATTTTGCTTCGATATTACACGCATCGGGTAATTGTAAATTTGATATATTAATTAACATCCATCTTTAGAATCTGATTAAATAGCGACTGAGAGACACCTCTCGAGTGCAAAAGGTTAATTCTACATAAACAACTTAATTTTTATTAAAAATATAAACGTATGTACAATACAAAGACAACAAAAATATTATTTTAATTTAACGCAACTTTAATTTAATAAATTTCTTTGTCGTCACTGTACATGTAGAAGTACAGTGTTGTATAAAAGTTTTGCAATTTTCTTATCTTATTATCGTTCTATGTTAGAGCGAAACCGTGTTATAGGATGCCGTGTTGTAGAAGGGCTACCTGTACTCGGAAATTTAAAATTGGAAAAAGTTCATAACACCTGGATTGAAAGTGATTCATTAACCTTCACATTTTCTCGAAAATTACACCTCGTGGTCGATATCTATTTTTCAAACGATCATCTACCTATTATATAGTTTCTGATGAGTCACCATAATTTGCATACAACATCGGTACGATTTAGTGGTCGAATTACTATGATTGGCTTTTGCCGAATTATTATCTTACGATAATTCCTGAGACGTTTCAATTTCGCAAGCCGTGTTTACGTAGTATTGTACGCAGAGACAAGTCTATTTGTCCCTGTGCACACACACTGGTTCAATTCCACGAGCTTGTGCTGAGCATTTTTATGGCTGTCCTCATTTGCTCTTCTCTCTAGAGAGAAGCAGTCTCTCTGTCCACTTACTTTCCTCATGGTCTGAAGCAGTTCTATGCCTTTAGTGCAACGTTCAAATTAGGACCTTTAGGATAAACTCTGCCATTTTTCTCTTTGCTACAACGCGACCGACAATAGAACGACAGTGTAGTGTTCGAGAAAGGTGTCGTCACTCGCGGACAATTTTCCTTTACGCTATAATCGTTCTCCCTCTTTCTTTCCCTTTGACACTC